GCAGACAGACGTATCCAGCAGTGGGCTCTCCTCTGAATTGGCCTCCTTTATGGAATGAGGAGACTGGGCCGGAAATCAGCTCAGATCCCTCTCCTCTAAAATCAGCTGTTGGATCTGACACAGAGCTGGGTTCGGGGGTTGTATAATAACGGTGTCACATATGGCACAACATCAAACCCCGGGTCCAGCTTTCCCCAAAACCTTGTGCTCAGCTACGCATGGCTGTAACAACCTGAATGGAAGAGACGTGTGATCAGTTGTGAATGACAATCTTACAAGTGGCCCCATTAGCTGGAAGGAGAATCACCTCTGGCTCATCTTCATTGCATGAGACAGGAGCAAGCTCCTGGGCACTGGGGACACCATTGCAAGTCCCATACCAGCTCTGGTTGCCTAGGAAACCCATGTTGTCCAGGGAAGCCACAAATGTGCTCTCTGAAAGGGCTCTTCCTCTGTGTCGCTTCTGTAAGGAGACAACTGTGGCTCTCGCTGGAGTGTGGAGCAGAATCTGGAGAAGGAAGAGCCAGGTTCTCCTGCAACCCAGTGCTAGGCAGTCTCCTCCAGGGTTGGATGTGGCCAAAGAGTGCCACTAATCCTTTCTTTTCCTCCTGCTCTTTGTTGCCTTGGCTCTTGCTTTCACCATGACCTAGAAAGGCTGGGATCTCTCTCCTGTTCAGGCTTCTGGCTCCCTAGCAGCAATGTTCATTTTCAGCTTGTGGAGGCCATGGCAAGGAATCAAGATGAGCACACTGGAAAGCCCTAAACTTAGCTTCCTCAAACTAGAGCAGGAAGCTGGCGATGGAGGTGGTTAGGGAGGAGAGACCAGCAGAACAGCTCTGCTGGGAGGCAAATCTATATTTGAACAACTGCCTCAGACTATGCTGAAAGCCAGAGCTACAACCCCAAACAAGGAGTCCTGAACCCGAGGACTGGCCTGAAAGATTCCTCTCAGCCACTGGCTTTCAAGGATGCACAAAGAGAAGGCTTGATTTCATCAGACAGTAGGGTAAGGAGACCCCTCCACTGGAACGTCCTGTATCCCTTTCATCCCAGGAGCACAAGTCCCAAAAAGCGAAGAATCAGGGAGAAGGTGCTCTTGGCACCTGCCCAGCCCACCCTCCTCTTAATGCCCTGCAGATGCAAGAGCGGATGCCCAAGGCCTATGTCACATACTGCCATGCTTCCTCCAGTATTGCCCTAGGGCAGCAGAAGTGACAGCAGTCAGCTGGACTCAGCCAGGGGAATAAGAAAAAGGGGATGTGGGGATCCAGAGTCTGTGCTACCAGCACACCGCATGCTTCTGAGCAAGAAGCCTGGCCCAGTCCACCTGGCAGCCGCCAGAACCAAAGCAAATCCTGAAGGAAGGAGCTGGTTGTATCTGTTTCTCCCTGGTTTCTGGACAGGGTGGGCCTTCACCCAGAGGGTGGTAACCAGGCAGGGGCACAGGCTTTGGAACATGGATGCTGGGCACACCCTGGCTAGATGTGTCCCTTCCCAGAAGGTAAGTATTTGTCTGTGGGGAAGAATGAATCGTCTGAGGAAGGGATGCGCATCCCCTCTTGCTCTTACTTCTATCTACAGTCTGTTCAGTGCCAAGTTTCCTCCCGGCTTAATGAGAAGGAGCTCAGCTTGAGAATTGGCCACATGGCCGGGACACTCCCACATGTGCCACGTCCAGTGGCAAACAACTGCCTCCCTTCTGGTGAACAATTAGACCAAGTGTGTTCCCTGATTCCCTTTTCATAAATCACAAACCACTGCTATATACGTCCAGCACATTTTAATTTAGAGAAGCACTGAGGACTGCCTTATGGGCCCCACAACCTTTCCTACGTCTCCCAGCAAGGACCCAGATGGCCTAGTCAGTTGTTTAGGAATGCTTTCCTTGGTTCACTGGAGGCCTGCGTGCCATTTCAAAGTGATTTCTAATAGGTGGAGCACATGAGATATGTAGGAAACCAAAACTACTCTTCATGAAACCAAAAGGCAAACACCTGACTTTATGCCTCTGGCCAAACCCACAGAACCTGCTGGACAGCACGGAGCATGGACCATAATGTGAACAATGGATCTTGGTGAATAACAACATATCACTCTTAATTAGTCATAACAAATACACCACACTAATGCAAAGCGTTAATAAGAGGGAAAACTGTTCATACAGGAGGGAAGAGTACAAGGGAACTCCATATTCTCAATTTTTCTACAAACCTCAAACTGTACTATAAAATAAAGAGCAGTAATTTAAATGTTTTCCCAAGGCAAGAAATGTCCAAATGAGGACTTGTCTCACAAATAGCCATGCCTCTGGGCTGAACTCTGTGTCCCTGGCAGCCCCTTGCACCCCAGCCCGTCTAGCAGCTTCTGTGGACCACCCCTGTCACGGGAAATCTTTCCCTTGGTATCTCCAGCCCCAGGTGGCCCAAGCCTTTTGTGTACAAACTTGAAGCCCACTGCTGTCTTCCAGGAACCAGACTACTCCAAACGTCATGTCTGGCACATGATAGCAAGAACATCTATGATGCACTCCAAACTCCATCACTAACTATTTTAGTCCCTTCCCACCAGCTGGTGTCCATCGAGGGCCATCTCTCCACAAAGCTTCTAATGACCCAATGATCATGTGACTTTGGGCTTCTGATTGGTTCCTTATGTTTTCCCAGGGCATTCAAGCTTTCCCGCCAGAGATAACCTTTTCTACAGCTGCATTTTCTGCTAGTCTAGTGCTTCCTACAAAGGAAACGGATGTCGCTTGGCCATCCTTTTGAAATGATAGAAGACATGCTGCGCTCTGGCTTGTTCTAGGTGCCTAGGACCTCATGATGGGTCCAGAGCCATGGGTGGGCTGCACTCCCCTCTCTCCCGGAAACAATTCTCCCCAAGTTCCAAGTGATGGCCACTGCCACCTGCTCTCCTCCACAGACTGGCTGTTTGACTTGAGCAATGATCTCACATCCATCTCTGCTATGCTTTCATTAACTCAGAAAATGAAGAAGGAGGACAGGGCAGGTGAGTTTGATCAGGGAAGAAAGAACCAAGATAAAGTTCTTCTCTGTCAGCCAGTGCTTCTGAACAGAAAGAAGGCCATGTCTGCAGGTTCCCAGGGGAAAATGTGGGATCTTGCTGTCTGAGAAAGTCTCCCTCATGTCCCTGGATCCCCTCTCACTCTTTCTCTTGAAGACCTGAAATGATCTTCTGAGGTGTCAGGGTGGTGAGGGACAGTCTCCAGTTACTCAACCAAACAGTTGGTTCTTGTGCAGGTAAACTATAGATGTGGCTAAAATGCCTTGCCAATTGTACTTTTCTTTAAATTAACTTTATTGGTACATTTGAAGTATACATTACAATCACATTCATCATTGGGAATTTTACCTGTACATGATATATCTTAGTCCTTGTTTTTTTCCTATTCCCCTCTCCTTCCTTCCACCCCTCCAGCCCTCCATCTCTCCCTATTTACAAAAGCTATGTTTGTTTTTTTCTTCTTTTCTCTTTCTTTCCCTTCTCCCCTCCCCCCAGTGCCCCTTCCCCTTTGAACCTTTGCTTCCTATTTCATGTTATCTGTTTTATATTTTGGTTCTCATTTACACTTTCAGTCTCTCACTCCAGAGAGACAATTCAGTATTTACACCTGTGTGCCCTATTTATTTCACTTAAGAGCATGGCCTCCATAAGCATCCACAAGGAAGAGTATTGTAGATAACTGAGATGGATCTGATTCAGTCAGCTGAAAGGCATTGAAAGGAAGACATCCCTGATGCAGAAGACACCCAGCCTTTGGGCGGTGGCTTCAGGCGACCCCACAACAGATGACCCAACTCCACTTTCTTTACCACTTTTCCTAAGGTCCAGCTGCCACAACCATAGATGGCAAGTCCTTGCGGTATGTCCCTTGATATGTATCTCCCACTGCTTCTCCTTCTCTCTTGACTTCTACAAGAACTAGGCTCTTGAGTTGTCACCATGTCCCACCACAGGATGCGTGGATGGAACTGACCTAACCACTCTATGTAAACACCAGGCATTTCACTTATGATAAGCAGTGATCCTAATCTCCCCAATATCGCCCTTGTCCTGATTCTCCAGTTGAGGGAAAGGGAAAGCCCCAACCTACACCCACAGTTAAGAAACAAAAGGCTTTGAGAGCATGCTCCTAGGAGCACACATTAGTCACTCTCTTGTCACTAGAACAAAATAACAGATACTTGAAATTTAAAGGAGAGGCTTGTTCTGGCTCGTGGTTTTAGAGGATTTAGTCTATGGTTGGATGTCTACAAAGCAGACATAGCAAAGTGGACGGGCCTGGCATAAAATAGCTCACATCATGGTGACGGAGAAGCAGAGACCGAAGCGGGAGCAGAAAGGAGATCCATCCTCCACAGCAGCGTGCAGGGACACATCTCGTCCCATGCCCCAACAGCACATTTGGGCTACAACCCACCCGCTGGTGAGTACAATACCCTCCTGATCTAGGAACCTTCCAAAGCCCCACTATGAACATGCAAGTTTTGAGGTGCACTGTAGATACAAGCCATCACAGAGCACCAAGCTCACATTTCCTGAAACACAGGGGTCTGGACAAAGTGGTGGGGCTGTTGAAAGAGGACAGGAACAGCACAGGAGCAGATGCCATGTGCCTGGGGGCGACTTTCCACTCTCCTAAAGTGGGCCACAGAGATGTCACTGGGCAAGATTTCACAACGTGGTCAGAGAGGAGAACATGCAGAAAGCTGATAGAAGGGGACCCTCTCCCCCCCCCCCCACCGCCATCTCTCTTCCCAGCGCAGAAGAGAGTTTTCCAGCTGTGTGGCTCCCCTCCATCCAGAGCTCTGCAGTGTTACCCAGCAGGCATGAGGGGCAGTGGCGAGTCAGGGCAGGCTGCAAGGTGAACAGAAGGGGCTCTGTCCCCAGCAGTTTACAGTGCATGTAGAGTTAAAACTAACTGACTGGCTCAAGTCCACAAGTGCTCTCAGGGAGTCTAATTCTTTCTTTGTCCCACTGATGTGTCTTTGTGTAAGAGACACTGCAGACTTGGTACTGGAGGGGCTCCAACACCTGCAGTGACATCGCAACTCCGAGGGAGGACAGGACTCCGGAGGGTGACAGAGAGTAGTGGTAGGAGGCAGCTCCTGTCTGGACACTCAAATGCTCCCTTGTAAAAGTTTGATTCCTCACAGGTCAGGAAAGGCAACTCTGCAGCTGAGAGGACAAACCAGACAGGCAGGTCCCAGGTGAGTGGCCACATGCAGGCCACAAATTCTCCTTGCAACAGCTTCATCACTAGTGAGGTGGGAGTAATAATGCCAGAGGTTCCAATTTCACAGGCTACTGTGAGGATTAACCTTTGAGGAGTGGGAAGGGTGTCCTTTCTGAACCCTTACCCCAGGCACTGTCAGAGCACTGATTAGACAAACAGACGGAGGCCCTGGTGGTGGAAGTGGGCTGGGGGAGCGTTTTCCTCCCAGCTCGAATGGGGCTTGGGATAGAAGATTCGAGACAAGAGTGGGGACTCCAGATCTGGGGCTGCCACTGCTCCCAAGCTCTACCTACACAGAAGAGCTTCAGCACCTCAGCAGACTCTGTTATTCACTATCAGCCTTGTTCCAAGGTTCCCTCTGCTCTAAGGACAAAAGAAGAAATATCAGTCTATTTTAGACGGCCACGGAGATCTGGCCCTTTTGACGCCCTCAGTTTTATCTCTCGCCACACTCCACTCCCGAGGCCAACTCTCCCAATACTTACTCATGTGTGCACGCACACACACACACACACACACACACACACACACAGGAGCAATACTAAAGAACCTTTTAACAGCAAGTCAGGGCAAAGGATGGAAAGGGAGTAGAAACTACATTAAATGCACAATTTAATTGGTTTCAAGAGTCAACCCTTCAGAAATTAGGTCAGCGATTTTCAGTGTCAGTGGGCTTCAAGTTAATAAAAGTGTGAGATGAGAGAAAAGGGATAAGAGAATTTAATGTGGTAGGAAGACAGTTCAATGAGATATTCATTTGTAAAGGAGAAAGGAAACGTCAGAAGTTGATTCTCTCCCACCCTTTAAAGAAAACAAATCTTAGCGTGTACATTTAAGGTATACAACATAAGATAAGATAAATATATATAGTAAAGTAGTTGCTATAATGGAAAAAACTAACGTATCTATCCTCTCAAAGAATTATACCCACCTCCGTGGCAGGAGCAGCTATAATCGACTCCTTTAGCAACAATTTGGAGCACAAGGCACAGCCATCAGTTCTAGTCCTCATGGTGTCACTGGATCTTTCCACCAGCTCCTTCGGTGAAGCCAGCCAGGCCTCTGTGGCTCGAGCTGGGCATCTCTGCTAAAAAGTCCTCCCCACACGACCTTGACCCAGAGCACAGGCCACATAGACCCAGGGAGAGAGAAGGATGTGGCAAGGTCTGCAGGAGGCAGGGACCTTCCAATTTCACCTTGGCCACCAGCAAAGCACGCAGCCCTCGCCCTCCCTTGAACAAACCAGCAGCCTCACTGGCTTGCCCTTCCAGGTACAACTGACAGCCTTTCCAGAAATCTCAGGCTCTGGTGCCATCTCCAATGGAGAGGAAGAGCTGACTCCCCAAACAAAGCCCATTGACTTTTCTCTCCCCCTTGAAAAGTAAGGCTTAGAGTCAGATTAAGAGGGACTGAGGCAGATTAAACTGGATTCAAATCAATGTGTGGAGCATTTCCTGCACCTGAGAGTGCTGTGGAACTTCAAATGGGCTACTTGTATCCCAGAATCCAGGCAGCCTGGTCATTGTAGCTCCTGCCATCCCTGTCCCACATCTCTCCTCCTTGGTCCTTTCAGGCCATTCCTTCTCCCTGGAACACTGTCATCTCACTCTGTGGCCACCCCTTCCTCCAGCAAAGCAATGAGCACCCAGGATGGTAGTTTGGGTTCTTTGCTGTTTCCCCCACCACTCCATACCCAGAGGGTCTCAAACTGCCACCATCTTCACTACCTGAGGAGCTTCTGGAAAAGCATGTCCTCTTGGTGCCACCTCCAGAGTCTAACTCAGAAATCCTGTGCTTTCCATATGCTTCCTGGGGTAGTGATGTGCACCCAGCCCCAGGATACATGCTGGAGAATTCTGTGCTGAATGCAGGGGGAGAGGCTATGTCTTACAGTTCCAGTTTCAGTATCCACTGCTGGATTAGGAGGAGGCTGGAATGACAGGCCCTGAATGACAGGTTACAGGATGTGGCTCAGTGGGTTGCTCAAGAAATGAGTGGGTAAATAAATTAAATCAGTAATAATGGACTCATTCTCTTGCTCACCCACCCATCCATTCACTGGATTAATAATTAAGCTGCACACCACACTATAAAAAGGATTGTGCAGGCTATAAATGCAGAGTAACATCTCTTTTGTTTTGTTTTTTAACCATTGTGGGCTAAGTCCAGCACCTTGCTTCTCAGAGTCATTTTCTCCAAAATTCTCCCTTCAAAGCTCTGGCCGATCACTCCATAGGGATCCTTCCAAATGCAAAACCATGTTCCAAGCCCATTCTTTTCTCAGGAGTCTTCTGTATCTACCCCCAAGAATGCACTTCTGGGGGCACTGGAATACTTTCCTTGCACTAAATCTAAGTATCTCCTTGACCTTCAATGGCAGGAGCATCTGGCCCTTCTTCTATGCCAGATATACACAGGGATACAGCAATGACTTGAAGGTGAGCCCTGCTGAAGGGAGGTTGGTAAGACGATCCCACAAGATCCCCTTCCCAACTGTGCAAGCCTTGTGTGATTCCTTCCAATCTCTAGGCTAAGTCACCTGCAGGTCATTTTCCTACATGGTGGAGGAGACACTGCAGAAGTGAATGGGGTCCCAGTCACCTGGACCTAATCAAAAGGGAGGCTATCCTAGGTGGCCTTGCCTAATCTGGAGAGCTCTTAAAAGAGGTCAAAGAATCAAAGGCCACGTGATAGAGAGGGACCGATGGCAGCAAGAGGCCCTCGATATCTTGGAGCTGAAAAAGAACCATGGTTTTGGTGCAGCAAGAAAGCAGGACCTCAATCTACAGCCACCAAGAACTGAAATATACCAATAAGCAGTGAGCTAGAAAGAGGACCTGAGCTTGAGGTGTCTTGTAGCCTTGCTGGACGCCTTGATTTCTGCCTTGCACAGGTTCTGGTGGAGAACACAGTGCAGAAACTTCTGACCTACAGAATCTGTCATGGACTTTTTAAGCTGTTAAACTGCCATGTTTTTCATGCCACAGTACAAAACTGATCAAGTCTCTCTAGCCATGGAGCTCACAGTCACCTACAGATAGGAGCACAGGTGAGTTATTACCTTGTAATATTGTTTCTAAGTCTGCAGCAGTCCATAGCTTTATCATTTTTGAAAAGTTGAGCCCAATTTGTTTTCAGAGTTTTCCCTACTCGTCTCTAATCCATCCGATCTATTTAAACTACAAACCAGTGTTGACCTCTGATTCTGTTCCTGGTACTTCCTAGACCCTGGGGGCCCAGGATGACCCAGATACAGTTTCTGGTCCCCTCACCTTGGCCCAAAATGTCCTTCTCCATCTTGCGCAGCCCACTAATGCCCAAGACCAAGCATAAATACCACCCCACCCACATGAATGACATCAAAACCTGCAGCTGTGACCTCAGCCTTGCCACAGCAATTTCCATGGCTCCCTGCATTGTACTGTGTAACCGCATTGTGAGTTTTTATCACATGGGGCTGTGTGCATCTCACTGGGCTGTGAAACCTTGAAGGGCAGAGACCCTGCCTCAGTCACCAGCTTCATAACCCAGTGCCGGAGAGGTGGGAGATATTCAGGAAATATGGGTTGGGTAATCAACAGCTCATCAAACTCATCCTCCCATCTCCATCCACACTGATTAGCCTTGGGTTTTAATGCATTAGAGGTCAGTCCATATATAGCTCCCTCCTAAGACTGGTCTAGCCTGATGTCCGTAACCAACTAGAAGTCTTGAGATAATTACCCTTGGGCATCATTATAGGTGTTCTTCACTTAGGCAGGTCAATTTCAGGATGCATTGTGTACACTTTATTATCTTTCATCAAATCATAGCCTTAAAGTACTGGGGTCATCGTTTCTTTAGGAACTACTACTATAAAGAGTCTCATCTTAAAGTGAGAACTCTCATCTAAAAAATTGTAAGACCCCCACTAATTTGGAAAGGACACAATGTAGGTTAACAAAAACAGAGAACAAACAATGAAGTTGAAGAAGAGGTTTTTAAAGAGAAGGTGTAAATGCTTAGGAAGAAAGAAAAGGCCAAGAGTCTGGAACAAGATAAGCCTTGAGCTCCTTAGAACCAGGACAAAGAGGAAAAGACACTGGACTTGTAACTGCCGCTGCCAGATGGAAAGAAGCAAAAACCTGGAGACACAGAGAGAAAGAAACCCATCCTTGGAGTTCAGTCGCAAGAGGCTCATGGCGTATTCCAGGGAAAGTGCATGGCAGGGAGAGCCAGGCACAGTGGCAGCTCAGTAACTGCCAGCTGAATCACTCTGTTTTCATGTGGGCCTTCTAAACAGCAAGGAGGATACAGCATGCTAACTACAGCTCTGCAGAAATCCAGAGTCCTATTTTCCAAACAAGAATGTTGACTATGCTGAGTTATCCAAATGCCAAGGTCATGTCATTCCATGCTAACTCGGAAAAGATATTTTTGGAGACTGCTTAGCTAATTTATACATAGTGTGACAGATGGCAAAATGGGACTTTTTTTTTTTTTTTTTTTTTTTTTTTTTTATTTTTTTTTTTGCCGCGGCTTCTGCCAGGCCCTAGTACAGCAGCAGCTACTTTTCAAGGTGCAGACCAGTGCAGCTCTGCCCTCATTGTGCAGGCCGTGTACCATGGCCCTTGTTCAGGCAGGCTCCAGTGCCTAGGTCCAGGAGGGGCCTGGAAGCCATGCAGCTGTCACACAGGGCAGCCACTCTCTGGAGCAGACACTGTGCCCACTTGGCAGCTCTGTCCCTGGTGGGTTGCTGCACCCTCTCAGTGAGACCCACACCTTCCTGGAGATGGAGGTGAGGGTTTCACCTGACAGTGATAATGACAGAGTGGATTTGGAAGAGAAATTTATTGGCTCCTTGTGAATTCTAGGCCCTCTGGGTGAGGTGTGTGTGGGGGAGTGTCATGCACTGTCACCTCAGACCCAGTAAGAAGAGTTTTCCAAAACCAATGAAGAGGACAGAATGTTCCCAGGCCTTGGAAACACAGGAGGGCCAGGGCCCAGGACAGGAACTGGCTTGGTGGAAGCCTCAGAGCACTTACAGAGTCATTGTTCCCACAGCAGAGTGGTCCAGGGGCTGCACTCCAAGGACGGGTGATGGAGGGCTGAGGAGGTGGGAATGCCAGACTAGCCATGCCCGTGGGCTCCTATGCCCTGGAAAGACTCGCTGGGCAGCAGGAAGTAGCAGTGTGCACAGGAGCTGAGAGGACCACCCTGGACAGACCCTGCCCAAGGCAGAAATGCAGAAGTGAGGCAGGCTTGCTGGGAACCCAACAAAAACACCATCCCATCTGTCTCAGCTCCTCCCTACCTTCAAAACTAACTGCTCTGTCTTCTATGTTGCTACAGCAAATTTCATGGCTCTTTGCACAGACCACAGGAGGAGAAAACAGTTTGGAATATCTGCCACAGCCAGAGAAAAACAAACCATCACCTCCATCGTCATCATCATCATCATCATCATCATCATCATCATCATCATCAAGGCATTCTCTGGCCCCACCTCCCTTTCCTCCATATTCCCACCCATGGGAGCTGGAGGCAGCCTCAGGCTCAGCACATTGCCTTCTATAATCAGATCATTCTTGGGGCTCATTGTGACTGCAGGATTCTGATCATCTAAGCACAAACAAGCTGTGGGCTGCCACATTTTCACCAGGGATGGAGCCACACTCCCAAGGATGGGTGCAAACAGGGAGATGACATGGTACTGCTGTTTGTGCCACAGGCATCTGCCCTGTTCAGTGACCTGCTTACACCCCCTGACTTTGAGCACTGATTCAGGACCAGTGGCCTTTATGAGTCTCCAGCTGCTAGGGCTTACAGTGTGGTTTTTCCCTCAGCTTTGGTGCTTGCTAAGGTGTGGTACTGAAGGCCCACACAGTGGCTCTCCAGGACTGCAGGGAAGGTGCAGCACCCTGGCTGGTACACAACAGGGGCTCAGCCAATAGCCCCTTGCTGACTTTCAGAAAGCATTATCTGCTGGAAAATGTTGTTTCTCCAACATGGAAGAGCTTCAGAGTCACTGAGGATAGTGACTAAAAATGCAAACACTGTGACTTCATTCTAGGGAAATTCTAATTCACTGTGACTCCATGAGACTCAGAAACCTGTCTTTCACCCCCATCTTTGGGGTGGGTGATCCACAAAGCACAACCTTCTGGGGAAAAGAGGTTCAGGAAAGCTATGAGAAGGGAAAGAAGCAGAAGGGACATTTCTTCCCCAAGAGAGCTAAGCCATATCCCACTAGCATCCAACTCGGACCTCAGGTTTCCAGAAATGTATTATTAGTCATGGAACAAAAATTATTTTCCAATTTCACCTGCCACCTGTGCTATCTGAACCTAAAAGGAGACTGAAGACTCCTGCATTCCGCCTTCAAGCCTTCAGTCTAAGCAATGGCAGAAGCAGTGCAAAGTCACCCAGGAAGCTCAAGAAACAGGTGCAAGGCTGTGGCGCTGCCCCCACAGGGTTCCCCACAGAAGGGAGGACTGCACAGCCATATCCCTTGCCCCAGCAGCAGCATGCTCCTGGATTGGACCCCTTCCACACGATTCAGCTAAAGTGCTCCTGAAAACACCTTGATAGCAAGATACACCCCCACTCAGCAACCTCCAGGGACTCCCACTGGGCCATGGTCACACTGAGCACCCCAAGGTGTGCCAGGGCTCCGACGACCTTCCTGATCCTGTCTGTACTTCAGGGTTTTCTGGGAGCACTGTACTGCGTTCCGCAAACCCAAAGTGTACCAAAAAACTCAACTGAAATTTACAAAAAATCCTTCTTCATCTAAGTGATTCCAGTTCACCTTCCAAAGGACAACTGCATTATCAGCGCCTCCAGGAAGCCTTCCCTGACCTGTTAAGGCTGGGTGAAGTAGCTTTCCCTCAGCAGCTATTTATTAAATACCTTCCCTTTGTCAGCAACCAGCTCCTTTGCATTTTCAAAGCCTCCTGCGCATAGCTCTTTCCACCTCTACTTTCCCTTGCTGAATGCCTGCCCTGCCGCAGGGCGGCAGTGACACGATTATGGGATGAATTAATAAATTGATTCTCCAGTTGCCAGGAGATGAGTGTACTCCTAATGGTTAAAATTCATCGCCAGGCGTTGTCAAGGACACCGCAAGATGGAAAATACCCTGTTTCTTCCAGAGCAGAACAAAGCTCTTGCCCCATATGGCAGCGGCAGCAGATCCTCCGCCCCCATTTGCTGAAGCTGAGGTTCCCGCCCGCCGTCTCCTCCAAGAAGCCGGGCTTCCTCGCGTCTGTGTCACGCTGTCTGCAGGCACACGTGACTGGGGAATCCCATCTGCTCGCGCGCACGCCCACCCGTGACAAATGAATTCATCTGCAGCCCCTGCCAGGAGCAGCCTCGGGAGAAGAAAACGGGAGCTGAATTATTCATGCCGGGAGAGGCTGGCCCCGGCCTCCATGGGCGGCCGGGAAGCGCCCCTCCACCACAGCCTCGGGTCCCATTACACACAGTAATGCAGTAATAATTAACACCAGGAGCGTCCACCACGCGCTGAGCGCCCGGCGCGCGCTCCGCTGGGAGAGGGGTCTACCCTGCGCTGTTTAATCTCACTTTCGCACCAGAACCTTGGGATAGGACGGACCATCGCGCCCACGTACAAATCAGGGCGGGCACTGGAGGAGGCCGAGGTCTCCAGCCCCATCCCCAGGTTTCCTTGACTCCAGGAAGCGCGCTTTCCTCCTTTCAGCACCGGAGAAGAAAGGGAAGCCCAGGGATCCCCCAGGCACAGCTGGGTGGTGCCCGGCCCCTCCTCACCCTGCTGGCTTCAGCATTCAGAGCACCACATGCATCAGGCAGGACTGAGAGCCTCGCCTTTTCCGCCATAAGGCAGCTGCTATCTGCAGCGGCTTCTGTGCCAGAAGAGCTCTGCTGCACTTGATGTGGCGCAATTGCCGATTCTGGAAGGTGTGGATTAGATATGGAGAAGGAGCAAGTAAGAGGAGGGGCAGGGGGCCAGGGAAGGAAGGGGAAGAGTCAATGCCCAGGAATTTAACCCTGAATGGCACAATTGCTAATATCCAATCCCATGGACTTGTCACTGCAAAGATAAAAGGACACCCAACCTGATCCTTCTAGGTGAAGAAAAAAAACAGAAGTGGGTGTAAAGCAAAAAGGATTAAAAAAAAAAAAACAAAAACAAAAAGCAGAACATGCACACACATGCCCCAGGGTACCCAGGGAGCAGCTAACACTTTCCTTGTTAGGAACTGATGACCATCCCGGTCTCACAGGAATATGCAGTCCCCTAGGAGACTGCGTGGACTCCAGCAAAATAGCTACGGGCAGAGA